GCAGTAGAAGGATCTGTCCTGTGTGCTCTGCTGCTTGTGAAGTCCAAGGTGACTTCAGGATGAAGACAATGAGTTACCCCTGTACTTGGGCCTCAAAGTAAGATGGAGTAAGTTAGGCAAACACTCCTTGATTAATTAACATGTGAAGAGATAAGCGGGTGTCCCCAAAATAATAGAGACAGGCAGAGAGTTCAAATTAGAAGGCGGGATCTTTGTTTGCTTGCTTGTTTGTTTGTATTTACAAAATACAGGTTTTACATGCCCATTTCAAAATGATTTTATGTTGTGATCAGGGTATTTAGCCTTTGTACAATAGTTCAGTTGCCTGTGTCATTTGAATAGTAACTATCATCAACTGATCAGCTCTTGAAGTATTTGTGTTGAACACTACGGAATATTTCAGGTTTGTTCTGATAATCTGTCCTAATCATATAACCAGACTTTCTACTAATAGCATCCCTTTTATTGCAGATTGCTGTTCAAGACAAGATCTGTGAGCTACAAGTGTTTCTTGGCAATGAAATTGTTTTGCTTATAAGCCCTCTTGGCAAACAGATCACAGACAAACGCACAGCTATAATTTTTCATATAACCATCTGTATCTAAATTTAGCTAAAACTTCCTTCACATGTCCTTAATACATATCAATAACTGCCTTTCATCCAGCCCCACCCAGTGCACTAGGAAAAACCTGACTTCAGTAAACTCAGCCATGTACATAATTTTTCTTCCACAGGACAAATATCAGTAGGACCCAGAATTTAATGTGGCACCTGTGTCATGTGTCTGACATCTAAACAGTTCTCATGTGCGGGCATCACCTTAACAAGTTGCCTAAGGCTGTATTCCTGCCCTATGTCTACCTCCCATAACTGCATCGTGACATACTTGTAAGACAGGTCTGGTCCTCTCATTAGAATCAGCATTGTTTTGTAACACCTCCATACACTTACATGTTATTAATGATATTAATACAGTTCTGTTTCCTTAACAAATCTAGGCTTTTGATGTTAATAATTTCCTCTGTAAATTTTGATAATTTTCAATTGTTGAAGAAGTTGGTTACGTTCACTAAAGTGTGAAGTTTTGGAGACACTGAGAAGCTAGTTTTTCATAAACTCACTGGTGCAGTGAGAACGGTCTCTCTTTTTATTTTTGTTGATAACCTATGATAGAGATATAAATTAACATGCATGTATCATTTCAAACTGTCAAAATTTATTGAATACTAATAAATTCCAAGGTAATATAGTGGTTATTAGCAGCAGATTGACAAAAACTCTCCTTTGTTGGTTTGAGTAATAATGGCTGCCATTGACTCATACATTTGGGTGTTGAATAACTAGGGAATAATATGATTTGAAAGGATTAGAAAGGTTTGAAGGTATGGCCTTATGGAAGTGGGCATGGCCTTGTTGAAAAGCGTATCATTGGGATTGAGATTTGAGATTTCAAAATCCTATACCAGGCCCAGGTTCTCTTTCTCTGCCTATGGATCAAGCATACTGTTCCAGCACCTGCCTGCATGCCACCATGCTTCCTGTCATGGGTAACAGACTAAACCTGTGAAACTTTAAGCAAGTCCCCAACTAAATGCTTTCTTTCATAAATTTCCTCACTCAGGATTTCTCTTCATAGCAATGGAACAGTGACTAAGAAGTCCTCTTTCCTTGAAGGTCAGGGCTACATGAATGCATATTCTTTTATTCCAATATCAGTTACTAATGTCTGCAATAAACTACCATGACCAAAAACTACTTGTGAAAAAAAGAGGTTATTTCTATTATATATCCATATTGCAGCTCATTTTCAAATGCAGTCTTGGCAGGAGCTGTGTTTGAGGTACTGATGAAGAAGTCATGGAGGAACGCAGCTATCTGGCTTGCTCCTCATGCCTGTCTGAGCCTGCTTCATTATACAACTCAGGACGAGCAGTCCAGAGATGGCACTGTCTACAGTGAGCTATGCCCACTCTCATCAAGAAAATGTACCAAAGGCTTTCCCAACTGGCCAATTTTTAGGAGTCCTTTTCTTAAATGAGGTTCTGTAGTCAGGGTACCATCTCTCTTTATATGTTTTCTTCCAATAGATCTTCTGCTGTGCAATTTTATCTTAAATCATTCTAGCATATGATTAGTTTTGTTGTTTACTTTTTCTCTGCGAACTATGCTATTATCTTCTTCTTGTTTTTTATATTTATTTATATTTATTGTTTTATATATTTAAAATAGAAGGGACATAACTGATTGAAGCAGAGACATACAGTTAAATAGGTGATCTCTTTTTGTGACTGGTTCACTCAGTATGTAGGCCATACTGGCTTCAAACTCAGTGATCCTCCTGCCTACATCTTCGAAGTACTTTGATTGAAGGTATGTGCCATCACACCCAGACTAAATAGATCATGTTGTTTTCAATTTGTGTGTGATTTGTAAAGGCTGTACTTGTACATGTATGCATGCAATAGAATATGTATGGAGGCTGGAGAACAACTTTAGGGATTGGTCCTTGCCTTTCATCTTGTTTTGAGACAGAGTCTCTCTTTAGTTGTTTGTCACTGTGTACCCTATGCTAGACAACCCGTGTGTTTGCAGAGATGCTCCTTTCTCCACCTCCCATCTCACGAGAACAACAACGGCATTGCAGGCTAAATGCAGTTACTAAAATAAAATACTAAGAGAGAAAACCCTTCTAAAAATAACATTGTGAAAAGAAAGTTGTACTTGCTGAACCAAGTGCCAAGAATTTTAAACAACTGTAATGTAACAATGTCCTGAATAACCATGCTTTATTAATATTATCCATACGCAAAACCAGTTAATAGGTAGATTTCATTCAAGACGTTGAACAAAGCTCCAATTTAGGATTCAAACAAATTGAACTAATGGCTCGAGTCTTTTTATGAAAATGCACTGTTCTTACAAAATGAACGAGTTGCTGACTTACAATGATTTCCTGAGAAAATAAAGATTCTTCAGAAAGAGTTGGCTCATCATTGTTTAAGATATCCCTCTGAAATAAACTTCTTAATCTGCATTGTAAATCTATTATAAATTGGTTGTAAATTGGAAAAACAAGCACATTCTACCTTCCATGTTTTTAAATGTGAGTGCTTGGCATTTTTTTCAATATTACACATTTCCAGATGGGGATAGCAAATATTTTTCCAGGGTTTTACTTTGTTTCTTAGAAATTATTTTTTTATACTTAGGGTAATTGGTTTTTGTTATTAAATAAAAATATTGTCCTGCTTTACTTTATGGATCTTATGTCCTCATTAAAAGCATTTCTGTCCCTTAAGGCTATGAACAAATTACTATTCGTCTTATAAACTATTTCCTCATTCAGAGAGTTCATTCATCCAAATCTGAAAGAAACATTGATCTTTTATTTTATAATTAACCGTAATTATGCTCATTGCTACACAGATTCTCTTAACTTACATAATCTCTGAGATATGTTCTTCTTTAATATTTTATTGAATTAAATTAATAAAATCCATATTACGTTATTGTTTATTAAGAAATCTTTTTAAAAGTTAACCCAGTCCATTTTTCTAATATATTTAGGATTTTGTTTCTGTATAGTTATTTAATTAGGCTTTTAAAAAATAAAACTAAAGCAAATTTACTCTATTTTTACAAATAGCAGCTGACCCACTTCCTCTTGCTGCATCCCATGTTTTTCCTTCAGACAATGCTACATGTACTTGTTTATCATGTAATAAAAGTGATCAAAATGCCCCAAATTCCTCCAGGGTTGTATGCTGTGCTATTAGCTGTACTGTGTACTTTTGAGGTTGTTTCAAAGTATAAATATTTATGACTTGCTGGGTTGTTTTCCATTATATGAAATATCAATCTTTAAAGGTAATCTTGTATAGAAGTACAAAATTGTACTTTACTTGATATTATTGCTGTTATGCATTTTATCCCCATAATTTTCAAATAATATCTTTATCCATCTTGCATGATTCTTATTTTTATTGTTTGTTTTGTTTTTGAGACTACACCTTACTACACAGCCTAGGCTGCCCTCACACTCATCAGGCCCAAATACTGGGATGACAGGCATGTCCCACAACCTCCTCGTGGTCTTTTCTCTGTTGTTTATAAATATACGCCTTTGGAAGTCAGATGGCTATATTTATTGCTGGTGTGTAAATTTGACTTTTCATGTTTACATCTAGCAATTCAGGGCTCCACATCATTGAGGTTTTTGCATTTGTCACCGCAATTTTCCTCTTCTGTGTACCAGTCTTTCCTGCTATATACCTGCTTCAATAGTTTCTTTTTTTTTTAATAGTTTCTATACATTTATGTCCTGGTCATTGCACATGTGTATTGACCAGTGTCAAAAATTAATTAGCGTTCAAAACTCCTTACTTTCGACAACCAGAGTGGTAGTTTTGTATTTTATCCTTATCTAGGACTGAGGGCTCTAATGCCATGGTAAAGCATGTGCAAGGCTCCAGATTCAATCCTCAGCACCAAAATAAAAAAAAATTAAATTACACTTGCTTCCCTTAATCTTTTCCCTTCTTCTTACCTTTAACCTTCAGTTAAATTGAAATTAGATGCCCTTAAGTTTTACATGTGGTCTAAAACTGAGATTTTTTTAGATGGAATTTCTAAACTACCCCAAGCTTTACTTTTGGATTCTTTTTTCCCTCCTTCCTTGTGGTCACACTGTTTCCCTTGTCTATTGTTCCCAAGTCATTCCTGGATTTTATGTAAATATAAGCCTCTAAAGAGATGCTACCAATTGGTTAGAGATAAACTCTTGAGTTAAAACATAAGGGCCGTTTTTTTTTTCTTGATATCTGCTTCCTTTCTTATACTTGAGAGAGAGAGAGAGAGAGAGAGAGAGAGAGAGAGATGAGATGAGATGCATAGCCTTTTTATCGTTCTTCTGGGAGTCTTCAGTGCCTAGCCCTGGTATTATTGGTCGCCCTTCATCATGTACCCACCGCTCACAACTCTGCATGTGATTTCCTACAGTACTCAAAGGTGGACAGGCATCCTGTGACTGCACTGGAGAAAATAATGGAGTCAAGCTTTGTGGGTCCCCAGTCATTCCCCGAGGTTCCTTCTCCTGACAGAGGAAGCCAGCCTGTCAAGCACCACAGGTACTGCTAACTAATCATGGTGGGAGTGGGTGAGTTCACCTTAGAAGTAGACACATGCCAGGGAATGGCTACAGGACCCACAAGTCCAGAAAAGGTAACTGATCTTGCTTCTAATATGGGTGAGGATTTCCACGCAGGGAGTGTTCAGGCAGTTCACAGCCAGGAAGCAAATTCTTCAGTTTTCCTCAGCAGTATCACCTTCCCTACAAAAACATGAAGGAGCTTTCTTCAGAGCTGCAGCTACAGACCAGTAAATGAAGCAATTGCACGGTGAAAATCTATTAAAAGTGTGATTTTTTTTTTCTGACTAGCTTGCTTGGTCACTGGTTACAAAGCTAATGTCTAATTCTACTCTAGGCAGCTGATGTGACCTGTGCCAATGTTCCAAATGTTCATCACAAAAGAAAAGTTTCCAGAGGCAAATCCTGCAGAGTATGCTCTTTGAGCCGGCAATATATTCTGTTATCAGAGAAGCGCCATCCTTTAGTGTGTGTGAGTTGATCATAGAAACTATTTCTTTGAGGATGAAGGCCAGCTACAAAGTCATTTGTTGCCTCACAGGAAATTCTCAAGCTGGGCATGTTCTCCAAAATCTTTTCATCCACATGGTTGTGTGTTCTACGTGAGGAATTTATTTTTAAAAATTGATGATGTTTAGTCCAAACCAAAGGATAAATTTGAAACTAATACTAGAATAGACACTCTGTTTGTGTGTACTAAAATGAACATTTTTAATCTGAAAAAGCGACCCAAAGACCGAATATTCATTTTCTTAGTGATAAGCAGTTTTTATATTTTCAAATCATACATTTATATTATATTATATAGATATATTAAACTTTTAAATGTTATATCAATTGTTTCTAGCAATAGATGATAGTGTTCATCTTGTACATTAGCAAGAGAGAAATACACAATGAAAGAGCTGACTTCCTACTTTCCTCCCCCAAAGACTATACTTTTCTGACTAAATTTCCTATGAGATTTTCAGTTATTCTAATACTGAGCTCACTAAACCGCAGAAGCTGATGGTGATGTTGATTCCCATACCTCCCTAGTAGATAGATTCTAGGGTACCAAGGATTTGACAAAGAAGAGTATTTAAGTATCTTCAGTGTAGGATTGAAATAATTTGACGTCTGGGTAGTTACATCAGTTCTTATTGGCAAGTCTGTGGTATGTCATAGCTTGCATTTTCAGAACTCCTGTTAAAGCAGCCTTTTACTTCACTTGACCTCAAGGAAGCTGCCTTAATTAGAGAAGTGACGTCCAAAATTGCTCACCTTTTATAGGGCAAATAGTTTCTCAAAAATGGTATCATCCCACGCTTATTTTGAAATATATTATAGTAGCTATATACCCTGTCAAGAAAAATTGTATAATATTACTCTGCAACATATTATAGCAAAAATATTTTGAACTTGAGAGTTTTAAATAATGGCTTCTGCCAAGTTAGAACTATAGCACCACTGTGCCCAGTAAATTTTTTTCAGTCTCCCATCCTTAGCTTTGATCTTGGTTTCTATATCTCCAAGATGAAATGAGGGTATCTTTAAAGGCCCTTCCTTTTGTTTTCTGTTTTGTTTTGTCTTGTTGCTTCAGTGACATTGCAGTATCTGTTGACATAGCTTGTCTTCTGATAGATGGGGAAGGGTTGATTTATGAAGTGCCTTTAGAACTTGAAATTATAGTTTAATGCATCATAGCTTTTGTTTTTTAAAACATACAATAGACAGAACAGTTTCGTGATTGATAACCTGTATACTGATTTATATATCCTTCCAACCGCTCCATAATTTCCTGAATGCCCCTCAGTTAGAAGGCCTGAATCTCTGATTGATCAATAGGTTTACAACTGATTTTGAAGATGGGTCACTACTTCATACTGGTAGACCTTGTTTTGACAGTTCAGCAAGCTATGAATAATTAATTTCTTGTTGTGCACTGAAAATATGACTCCTTTAGATGCCTTATTTATGAAACAAAGCTATTAATCCAAAACTGTTATTTCTAATGTTTAATAAAAAAAACCTACCTGTTGAAAAAAAATATTTGAGACATGTCATTTTAGTGAGTTATATTTTGGCAATCTAACTTCCTCACAATGGCATCAGTATCAGTTGGCAACAGCGATGGGAGCCCAGAGCTTTCAGTGAAACAGATAAGCCTTTGCATTGCCAATTATGGCATAGTAATGTATATAAAACGTGGTGTTGTGAACCTCACATGTTTTGACCTCACAGGACACTTAGCATACTTGAACTCTTTCATCTCGGGTGTGAGACCACACACATACCTTGCTTTGGCCTCTTCCCTCCCCGTTCTCACCCGTCACTTTATCTGAACAGCTTATGTATCAGGTGAGCTCCAGTCTTCCCTGTTTTCTGGCTTCTGGTCTAGCAGAAGTACTGGTGAGGGAGGAAAGGACTGGGAAAATGAGGTCATAGTCCTTCCATTCCCATCCTCAGTTATGTCCCACTCTAGTCTTCTGGGGACACAGTAGCTGCCACCTGACTTGGTACTTCCAACACTACCTCTATTTTGGAAAATGTTCCCTCTCCTTGATAGGATTGGTTTCCTATTGTTAGTGGTCTGAGGGGCAACAATGTCTTCTGCAGCTTCATCTCTGTTCCTCCCATGTAATGGCTGCTGACCATGCCTCTTATTATCTCCTCAACTGGTCCAAGTTAAAGACGTTTGGATTTCCATCCAGAATTCGGACACAATTATCTTCCCTAGCGTCATGCTTCTAGCAGTGTAGGGACCTGAGATTTACATCCAGATGCAGCTCACTCTGGTGCCAGATCTCCCAAACCCTAGATCCTAAATCATGTGGGATTAGACAGAAGTGGAGGTACAGAAACAAAGTCACTGTTCAAGAGCTCCCTAAAGATGTTGACGTAGAGATTGAATGTGATGACCATGTTGTTAAGCATTTCAGGAATTCAACCTACAGCAGATGACATGGCTAAGAACTAGAATATCGTGAGTGGCATGATTTTTTGTCTGTACAAAACTGAGAAATTAATGTGGACCTGCCACCATAACAGAACCACCAAGATGACCATTAGCACTCAAATATCAATTTCTCAAACTTCCAGTTAAAATATTTGCCAAATTTGCCAGGTATGGCAGTGCATTTCGTCAACCCCAGCACTCAGGAGACATAGATAGGCTGATCTGTGCGAATTCAAGGACACCCTGGTCTACAGAGCAAATTTCAGTCAGCCAAAGCTACATAGTAATTCCCTAAAATCAATGCCCCCTCTTTTTAACAAACACATTTTATATGTATAAAATAGCAATAATGGTAATATTGATGGAAGAAGTGAAAAACTCCAAATGGTAGAACAATAGGGGTATAAAGGCTTTGGCAGGCTTTCCCTCATGGGTACACTGCTGAGTTTTGAATATTTTTTCATCCTGACCTATAGAGTTGCAGTGATATTTTTTAGATTATGTGAATGCAGCATGAGATTTTAAGCTCACTGTATGCTCATGACCTCTCTTCTCATAGAACACTAAAGTTTGAACATAGGCAACTCTCTCAGTAATATGGGAAAGGGAATTGATAAAGAATCTTTTATCAGCTTCAACTTGTCAATTTATCTTCATAGAACCCAGTTCTTTTTAATATAGTCTATGTATATAGGCTCACTTTGCTAAGGCCTGGGATATAGGTCATTTATGCTTTTTGTCCTTGATGGCCTCTACAATGGTCATTTGGGAAGTTTGGATGTGTACATCCAAGAAAATTTAAGTAGGTGCTTATTAAAAGCAAACTCAAATGAAGACTGATGAAAATCTGGGAAGGTAAACTGAGAATTTAACACATGTTTGAAAAAATATTGTCAGTTAAAGTAAGGTCTGTTTATCCTATTACTAAGAAATAGAAATTTCCCCATAAATCCCCTCTGGGCTTCCTATTTTCAGTTCTCATCACTATCTAATCAGGGCTTTCTATTCCAATTTGAAGACAGCTCCTATGGCTTGGGAGGTTAGGGTGGGGACCAAATTGCCATCCTGAGGCTGCCTTAAACCCATTTCTGTCTTAGCTAGAAAGCCAGACACAGGGAATTCTAGATCTCAGTGCCTCTAACAGTAAGTGAATTAAACAAATTCCAAATTTAACTGATTGTATTTTTGACATTGATAGCATAGAACTTTAAGGATGAGAGGTATGAATTCAATGTCCAAGACATTTGAATGGCTTCTTAGAGGCTCTTATAATCTCTTTGCTTTGTTGGTTTTGTTTCCCCAACTCAGCAGGAATATTTCTTCTTGCTGCAGTCCAGGACAAAGGAGTGGGATGCTGCACAGGAATACCTTCAGGAGGACACCACCCTCACCCCGAAGCCGACTGGGTGGGATTGTAGGACCAGCATATCAGCAACTGGAAGAATCAAGGATCCCAGACCAGGATACAATACCTTGCCAAGGGTAGGTCTTTAAGGGACTTACTAGGGAGACTCTTAGAAGTCTGTCATTAGGTTAGTAGATAACTGTTTTAAAAAATCATTCTTAGGACGAACAAAGTATCCTTTTATCAATAATATAAAAGATATATTAGCCATGTGGTGGTGGTGCACGATTTTAATCTCAGAACTTGAGAGGAAGAGACAGGCAGATCTCCGTGAGGGTGAGGCAGGCCTGATCTACAGAGAGAGTTCCAGAACAGATTCCAAAGTTACAGAGAAACCCTGCCTTGAAAAACAAAATCAAATAAACATATATATATATATATACATATATATATATGTTTTATATTCATTGACTTCTGATTAACAGTATGAATCAAACCCTAAAAATTAACCTGTAACATAAATATATCTACTTCCATCCAGTATTCTTCAATGTGAGATTTAAGTAAAATATTAAAAGAAGAAACCCACAGAGAAACCTTTAGAACTGAAACGTCTTCATTATTTGTGCTATGGAGATATCAGGGATTTGGACACCATAGTTATTGCCTACAGTTCAAAGGTACCAAGTCATCTAGGAAGTACCAACATACATAGGGCTCAAGGTATACTGAGTGGAATGCAAGATAGATTCTCATCACAACTCTGCTCTTGGTGTAAACCACTCGGTCACACATGGAATAAGCAAAAGTATCTTACCATTAAAGTTGAATCCCTGTCCTTTATGACTTGTGTCAATTTTAGAAAATGCTGTCATCTGAGCTTGAGCTTTATTTAAATATAAACCTCCCAAAGGTCTGTGGCCAGGTCAAAAAGGGAGTATTAAGAATCTATGTCAGATACATGGTATCCAGGGAAACAGTTTTTGCCATAAACAATTCTCCCCATGCTATCATTAATTAAGAATTTAGATTTACTGTAGGTATTTCCATAGTCAGGCTCTAGCTGTGCCAAGTGGTTGACTTCCTGAGTGATCTAGGCTGGGTTTCTATGTAGTTTTGGTCCAGGTGATTATTTCAGATCTTTTGTTTCAATCCTGAGACCAAAGCAGGTAGGAAGTCCGGTTCAGAGCCTTGCAATTCTCTTTTCTGCTAGATATGGAATAGATGGACTATTGCTCTGTCCGATTAAGCATGGCATGGGTTTCCTTAAGAAGAAAGGATCTTTGGAAATTGGATCCAAGTAGCCTGTGGCTTTACTTTTTAATTTTGGAACAATTCCAAAAGGACCATTCCTTCACATTTCTGAGTGCCTGCAAATGCAGGACAGGAACTAAATTGTCTAAATAAAGTCTGTGATGCAAGTGAGCATGCAGTCGGCACTTTACATGCCCTTACCTGTGACAAGGGGTTGACATTTAGCCTGTATCTATATTGACCCTGCTTATAAACTACTTTATCAGTAATCAATGGTGATTCCACAAGAGTCTGTCCCTACCCACACATTTTCTTTTTTACAGTGAATATTAGCATGTGTAATTATCTTTTATTCTAATTGTTTTCCCTCTTGGTCAAAGTGGCTCTCACCCCAAATGTTCCTGATGCTAAGAGGTTCAGAGCCTGTAGCAAGTTGCAGTTTGAGTTACACATCCACAGACCTTCCAGGGCTCAGAGGTTTTCATTTCCTGCCTCCTCTTTTCTGTCCTGGGTCAACATAGTTGTAATTTTATATTGACTCAATGGCCACTGGATTGGCAATCGTCTAATCGTCTCTGTAGCTGGCTGGCCACATGAATTTTCTCAGTGTCGTGGGCACCCAGTGTTGATCAATGTTGACTCTGTTCGTCACTCTGGCCTCAGCACAATGAATCTCAGGAGTGATCTTATTCTCAGTCTTAAAAACAGCTCTTTTCCATTCCTGGGGGACGGACTGTCTCTCAGGACTGCAAATGAGGTTCGTAATAGAATTTCACAGCTCTCATTTTTCACATCTACCCTTAGCCTGAAAGGTGGGTGAATGAATTTGCAAGATCCACTGGCCATATGTTCCTGTTTACCAAGCATACAGTTGTTGTCTACTAACTAGGCTTCATGTACGTTCCTTCCCTTCGGGGCAGGAAAGCCTGCATACTTGAATACATCATCTACCATAGCACAGCAAGACCTTTAGAATGGGGTAGATAGAAGATTGAGGATACCTTTCTCTGACTGATGCTCTGGGCAGTGCCATGCCTGGTAATAATGCACAAAGGACTGTACTGGATGTGTCAGGCCAATTATTTGATATATTACAAGCTAATAAAAAGGAGTAGATTCAGAAAAGTCAGGTTGACATCTTCAAACCGGTCATGATCCAAAACATAGTTAGTTCCCACATCATCTAGTTAGCAACCTGATGCATTTTACATCTTGATATTCTTTGAAGATGTTGGTGAACACAACAAAGAGGAAAGCTTAAAGGGCCATCTCAGTGTGGTATTGGTCCTATCAAGAGAAAAGTGAGTTCATGTGTTAGCTTTTTGACCAAATTAATTACGAAACCAGGAAATGGATGTGCTGAAAACACAGCAATGGCTGACAGTGTAAAATGGAATCACTGGTTGTGTGGATGGTCAGTTCTATATACCTGCTATATGCCTAAACACCACTATAAGCCTTGCCTCAGAAATTAGATCTCAAGAGTCAATAAGAGAAACTAAGTCTTTGGCTTGATTCCTGACTTACAACAAATCAGTCACTGGTTATTGCCACCTTTCTTGACTCACATGCTCAAGGGGAAAAAAAAAAAATCCGTACTTTGTGGCCTCTGATTTCTTTGATTGATGGTAGGGAGTACAACCCAAAGGATTACAATGGCAATGAATATTTTCAGCATCAAACTGTTAAGGAATTATTGAGATTCTAGGTTTTACAGAGCTCTGAACAGCTTCTATGTTACAATCCCATCTATAAATTTTGATTCCACTTAAACACTTGCTGAAATATCATAGCTGTAACTCTTCACAGCAGCCCCAAGGAAGACTTGCAGGTCACCCGTGCCTCTGGTGCAAGAGCATGGCCCAGTTGTTTAATTTAAAATTTACAATTGTTTGATTTAAACCTCATAGCATCACCAGCTCCCAAGTATCCAAGTAGTATGAGATATGATATTTTTGTTTTGTGTGGTACTGAACCCAGGCTTGTATTACACTAAGATTATACTTACTTTGATTTTTACCACCAGCCCCTATGTGCTTTCTGAATTTGGAAAATTCAAATGAGCTTCCATTTGTCTGAGAGTCCAAATTACATAATGATGTTGGCTTCTTATTCAAAATTAAATCAACTCTGGAGAACTATTATTCTTTAATGACCTCTTCGCTCTGTAGCAAGAGTTAATATTCAGTTATTGCCTGTTACATGTCTAGTAGTTGGCTTGGGAAATGACCCAGGGTAATTAATTTCAATTCCTCTCTCTCATTTAAGTCCTTAATTCAGTGTCAGGTTGAATATGTGGATTTTTGCAGTTTGGCATTAGTTGCCTTTGAGCTTGGTCTTGCCACATTGCTGAGTCATCACAGCAAATAGTTACAAACATCTTCTGTGACATTCACCATTTTCCCAGCAGAATTTATCTCTTGCTATCATGACCACATTACAGCTTATTATATTTTATTTGTAGATCTACCCCGATGACATTGATATAGATATGGTGTTATTCCAGTCATATTTCTCGGCTCTTTTCTTTACATAAATATCTGAAGGCATATTTTATGTGTGTTTGTACATTCTGAAAGTGTAGTTTCAAAGACTAAAAAAGGGGGCCTGAGGTTTGCTCATTCTTATTAGAATTGATTCATGAATCTCACTTTCTGTCATATAAGACAGAGGTTTAAGATCCCATAGAGAATATTCACATGCATGGCTTTATAAAATTAAACAACCAAAGGGATGTTATAATCTAGCTTACCTTAGGAGGTTCCTTCATTAGCTGGTTCTGAATTTTATAAAGACAACTTGACACTTGAATTCAAATCCTTCTGTTGCTTATGTAGAAGTGTAATTTGGGGCAGGTCATTGGAATGCCCCTTGCAATTATCTACTCCTTCATCACATAAAAATGATAAACTAATTTTTTGTGAGATAATTTGAAGAGAAAGTGATTTTCAAGTCACTGTGCAAATGTTAGCTGTTATATCTGATATTGGTTAATGAACTACAAAAAGAGTACTTTCTTTAGAGGTATACTCATTCATTAATGTGTTAATTAGATCAGGGTTTATTGGTCATCAACTCTATTCTGGATTCATGGATAAAAGACACAAGTGCTATTCACCAATCTTCACTCAATTCTGGTGACACTACCCCCATTGTGACCTCACAGTAGAGACTTCTTTGAGCAGCTACTCAATACATTTCATTGTAACTATTCTTTACATACATAAAAACAATTTTTATTAACATTACAATATAAGCCAATGATATTAAATCTATTAGACTTATTTGACTTACGCTTACATGTTAATGTTTACTATTTAAAGATAAAGTCACTAAAAGTATGACAAAATCTACCATACAAAGTCTGTTACATCTGTTCCACTCCAGACACTGGAAAGATCAAAGGAGAAAAATCACCATAACTGAGCAGTTTACAACTCAGATCCTGGAATGCTTAAATTACCTGGGATGGCATGCTGGTATTTGTGACAAGCCATTGCTGAACATCAGTGCTCTTTTTTTTACTGTAGGGACACTGAAGAGCCCTGCAATGTTGGGAGGATTATTGGAACACCCTTTATATTCCCCCTGGACAGGCAGAGAGATTGGGCACCCCTGGTTTGATCCTATGGCTCGGCAATGGGCCAGCAAGCACTAAGGCACTCTATCCACAGGGCAAACTGTCAACAGCAGTTCAATATATATTTCTTGTGTAAAGCAGAAGTTTCAAGGACCCCGATACCTGATGGTCAATAATGGACTTCCTGATGGCTCTCAATTATGGTGACCACAGCAGTCAATCAGACTGACCCAGGTCTGAGAGGGTGGAAGAATTATGAGTGAAGTAATGCCGTGGTGATGTCCTGTTTGTCACGATGGAAAAGGTCACACTTACGTGCTCAATCCCCATTTACTTTGTATTCTAGGATAGAGGTCAGGAAGACTATATCCCATCTGCCTATACAGCTGTGGTGTGTTGAAAGACCCCTGGACTTAAAGTAAGAAGATCTGGGTTTGAGTCTCAGTCTGTCACTTATTTTTCTGTGTGACCTTAGGCAAGTCACTTGACTGATCTGAATTTCAATTGACTTTTCTGTCCGTGGGAGCATAGTATCCGTCTCATGGGGTTTCTGTGAGAAGTCAGTGAGATGGTGCATGTGGAGGACATTTTGGATGGTATGGTTCTCAGAGGCACAGTGGAGACCAGAATATGACTCTCTTCATCTTTTGACAGGTATACATCCAATGGCTTAAGAACCCAACAAAGCGCATCCATAAATATGCAACTGCCTTCAAGAGAAACAAACCCCTATTTTAATAGCTTGGATCAAAAGGACCTAATGGGTTATTCATCCCCAAGGGCCAATTCTGTGCCCATCATCCCTTCGGTGGGTCTAGAAGAAACCTGCATGCAAATGCCAGGGATTTCTGAAGTCAAAAGCATTAAATGGTGCAAAAACTCCTATTCCGCTGACATCGTCAATGCGAGTATTCCAGTCAGCGATTGTCTTCTAGAAGAACAACAGGAAGTGAAGATATTGCTAGAGACTGTGCAGGAACAGATCCGGATTCTGACTGATGCCAGACGGTCCGAAGACTATGAACTGGCCAGCGTGGAAACCGAGGACAGTGCGAGTGAAAACACAGCCTTTCTTCCCCTGAGTCCCACGGCCAAATCAGAACGAGAGGCACAATTTGTCTTAAGAAATGAAATACAAAGAGACTCTGTGTTAACCAAGTGACTCGAGATGTAGGAATCTGTGCATTCTCTGCTTTGCTCAACAGGAAAGAGAGGAAATTAAATACAAATTATTTATATGCATTAATTTAAGAGCATCTACTTAGAAAAAAACCAAATAGTCTGCCGCCCTCATATCATAGTGTTTTTTAACAAAATATTTTTTTAAAGGGAAAGAAAAGAAACGTTTCAGGAAGGATAAAGCTTACCACTAAAGCTTTTGGGGGAGGATTCTGAATCCACTTTCAGTTAGCCCCATCACTGTCCTCTTTGGCTCTTGGAAGATTTGGCTAATTCCAACCTCTGGTCCCATAGTGCCAGTATCTGTATGGAAAAGAAACTGGTGTTCACCTAGCTTCAAAGACATGCGCTATATCCCAAGAGAGGATGTGCCAGTGAGCAGGTAGCCCTGGTCATTTGGCTCTTGAGTTCCAACCCCTAAATTTCTATTCATCAATGCTCTTACCACAGTTTATGTCACGTCAAAGAGTGGAGTGCTTTGTATTTGATTTTTAAAGACTGGTGGGAAAACACGAACAGGAAGAAAGATGGAAAATAGGAGTAACCTGGTTAATCTTAGCTACTCTCATGTGCCATCTTTCTCTGACATTTGAAAGCACAGAACCTCAGAGCGAGATGGGAAACTATTATAGGAGAAGAGATAAAAAAAACAAAAACACAAATGACAATGTTGTGCCACTAAAATTATGCTAATAGAAATGTTTTTTCTTGGAAAGTGTTTAGAAGCTCTGAAAGGGCACCTCTCAGTGTGTGTGTGTGTGTGTGTGTGTGTGTGTGTGTGTGTGTACCTGTGTGCATAGGTATGAGCTTGCGAGTGTGTGGACTTGCTCACCCAAGCACATATGCTGTATGCACATGTGTTCCTTGTACGTATGGGTGTGCATGTGTGTGCATATTAAAGCTTGCAAAAATTTGTTCTCAAACATCAGGGAATCAAATATTCAAAAGAAATTTTCCCTCTTAAATCTTTTCACTTTAAAGCTTTCCATTAAATAGAAATTTGGTTAGAGAGTTCTTGAACCAAGGTAACTTGCATGGTGGGGTCTTACAAAAACTCTTGACGAGGTCTAGACCCTTTTCTGATGTGAATACTTTTTAAAAGAACAGTCTTTAGGTTATTGATATCAGTATCACAAAGCAAATTAATGGAAGATGTGTTTATTTTGAATCTTTTACTTAAATTACTGACACAAGCCAATTATCAAATTAACAGGTGACCATTTTAATTTCTTATCATCCTCATTGCTACTTTACAGTAAGTTTGCTCTATGTAGACAGAGGCTCTAGCTTCTCTGTTTAACATGGAAGGAATAAATTGTTGAAAATCACAAATCCCAGACTATTCAGTTCACAAGCAATGCCCCCCAAACAATAAATTGTGTTGTATGTTCATTTGGAATAAAGCAATATTTTTACCACTGCTAAGGTGAACTGAAAACCTCCTGAAGATGTGTCTGTTTTTATTTTCCCTTATTTTTATGGGGCATTCAAGGAAACTAGTGTTCCCATATCCAGTCTTTATCTGATTATTGGTGGTGTTGTTATGTTTACACTGTTTAAATAAAAAGGCACAGTATTTGAAAGTACATAAAAGATTGCTTTTACTGTAGTTTCGGGACAGCTTGGTTAAAATTTCAAAGATTTGGTTTTCAGCAGAGAAAATATACAGTTCTTGCTTGAGGTAAGTTATTTCTGTTAAACACATTGCAACTTGTTATCTGCGAGCTTTCATTGATAACAGATAAAATCATCTAGGGAAAAGGGAGAGCATTAAAAACCTAATCAAAGCTACTTAACAGGAATCTGGGGTCTCATGTTGAAAACACATTGATGGAACCCTCCATTTTATCTCATAAAAGTTTTGTGTCATCATTAGTTGTCATCATAGTTTTGAATAAATCAGGAACATTGTTAATGTTTTCAAAAATTGGAGATTTTTAATGTTTTCTCGCTCAACTTAGTTTTCATTTGAACATGGTTTCTACTTAAGAACATCATAGAAGGCATTTGAAGGTCTGTAAAATCCTGAAAGTTGAGCAACCACTGAAACATTATGTTGTTTTTCACAAACAACTGTGAGACCATGCTGGTCTATTGAGGTCAACCTTGTTTATATTTTTTTATTTATTTGTTTTATTTTTCTTAAAATGTTACCTATTTTTTTATCTAAAGTATCCATTTATCTACCTAGGAGGGCTGGTATTCTCAGCAACAGACTTTTTTTTATATATCCTTTATACCAAAAATGTACGAACGATGAACCAAGTCTCGATACAACATCTTATTTAAGTAACAGAAAGATTCTATACCATATGATTAGGTAGCAAACCTTTTCCCCATATCCTGAAGATAATGAGTATCAGGCATATCCACCAGCTATGTTACAGAAAGTTTACAGATGTTGCTACTTTTTGAACACTCAAGACAAAATGCTCCATAGAAACAGTTATTTGCAGTAGTTTCTGTGGTCTGTGTCTCCTCTTGGACTCCTGCAAAGTGTCTAAGCTCAAACGCACATCTTAGGTCACCAATTGGCAATTGCCCATTGTCAGGAACATTGAAGCTTCCACATTAATCTAGCCTGTTATATACCTGGAGCCATCATTGCGTTGTTCTTTGAGCTCATCTGCTTACGAAGACTTGACAATTTATACGCCCTGCCTTTGAATTTACTTTATTTCTCTTGTCTCTATTATGGGAACAGATATTTGGATATTTGTAATTAAATAAGATACATATTCATCGCTAACTGGAGACAGATTATCACTCATTATTTTTTTATTTAAGTCATTTCCTATTCTTTTTAATATAAAACACTTTTAAATTGATGATAGCTATTGTGGAATGCTGCAGTTCAAAATATGACCAATGTTATATTACTAGGGTAGAGAATAGAAATGATGTAGGCAAGTTAGTGTCTGAATTTTTCTCCTTCCTGTGTATATTAAACACTCTTTCAGACTCTACCCCAGTATCTACCTAGCTATAAATTTAAGGTCAGTTCATCACACACACACACAATGATTCACATCAGTTTTAAGTATCAATATAAGAGACATAGAACAGTGCTGCTCTCAGGACTTCACAAACTAGCCAGATAACACACAGACCAAAAACAGTAGAGGGCCATACAGACTTAAGAATACCCCCTCAGTTGTGAGATGAATAAGAACTATCATTTTAGAAGGGCCCTGGTGCCCAATGCTGAGGCTGCTGGTAACCAGGTCTCCACCAGAATACATCCAACACTTGCAGCCATCAACAAACCCCTATCTTGCCATATGGTGCTATAGGAAATAACGAGTCCTAACAAGTGTGTGAGGGTGTGGGGCGATTCCAGTCCTGTGAACCTGAGATCAAGTGCTAAGACACTTTTCTCAATTGAGTACATAGTATACCTAGGAACACAGCAGGTGGGGAGGGATTTTTATTTGATCTTTTGGTATCTGGGAAACATTTTATATATATATATAAAGAATACTTTTTATTATTATTCAATTGTATAGAACCACTACAGTGTTTTCAATGAATAGCATGTCAATGCTGTTTGTATCTTGTCTTCAGAAATTTAGTCCTCATTCCAAGGAAGACCAGTCCAAGGTTTCTAGGCTGGTTCTCAATTTTGTAAACACTCAATATGCCCTGGGAAATGAAACTTTCAAATGAGCTTTATCTCTTCCTTTTTTCATTCTTTCCCTTTGAAAGAAATACTGAGGGTGAAGGAAGATATTCCCTCCCTCATGTGTTTCCTACTGTGAATACACCCTCAATATAGATATGAATACTAAATTGCTGTGATTATTTGGGTATTCTCATGTTTGCTTCATTTGACAAATACCAAGTGATTAGCTCATGAAATTCCATGAAACATAGTGGCCAGCCAAATATCAACATTTGTTTCAGACAGACATTTTCAGTTTTTTCTCTTTCTTAGCCAAACAGAAATATCCTTGGATTAGAAAATAAAAAGCAAAAAAAAAATCACTAAAATATATTAGATTCTCTCCTAAAATGGCAATTAAATAATGGCTGTAAATCTTACTTTATCAAAAGTGTATATTTATCACAAAAGCAGGCTTTTTTTTTAAATTAAGTATACTTCTAACAATGTTTTTGACCTATGTGAAAACTAAACTCTATTAAGGGCAGAGTGTGTAGATATGACAAGGAGGTCTATTAATAATGTCAGAAACCTCAGTGAAATCAGTAACAAAGTTATCACATGGACTTGGTAAAACAGAGAGCAAGCTTCTTATCCTTTGATGATTGTCTGTCGTGAATACCTGTACTGATTGCATGTGTATTGTTGCCAAGGCGAGGGCCGTGTGAAAAGAAGCAATCTTGTACTGTTGGAAATAAGTTAGACGTGCATCTCTGTGAAAGCTTTTAACTTACATCTGTAAGAGCAGTCTCTTGACCTCATCGCTATATAACGGATATGGTCTACTTTATCTTTGATTTCTTTCCTTTCTAGTCAACCACCTTGTATGTAGTCATTCTAATCGCGATTTTGACTGGTCAGCTTACATGTTCATTCAACACTGTTCTGTAAGTACTCCGTGCCCATAAATCTATCTCATAAAGTCTTGTAAGAGTTGAAACCTATGGAACATTTGTAACAACATGTGCTATCGAGTAAAAGGAGTTTTTGCTATGGGTAAATTTAAGGTAACTTTACTGAGGTCAGGTGATGGATGAAGACGGGATAATCGAGAAGTAGCTGACTCTACAGCTTGAAATTGAAAGGTCACTCTTTGCTTTATATTTGTGCTAAAGAGAATCTGAGAGTTTATCAAAAGCCCAGTCCACAGCAGGCATCAGAACTTGACTATGCCCTTTAACTATAGAAGCAGTAGTGAGACTCATTTGGTCCAAAACTTGAACGATATATAGATATACAGACAGGTGCTCTCAAACAATTGCATCTCAGGTTTTTTGTTTATTTTTCTTGAGAAAGGTCCCTGCCACGTTGCTCAGGCTATCAGTGAGCACACAATCTTCCTCCCTCAGTTTACTGAATTTGGTTATAGATGTTTGCTATTAACCCTGGTTCAACTCAAACCTTTTAACATAAATCCTACAAAGTTGACTACATTCTCATTTGAAACTTAGCCATTAAAGTTCAAAATAATTCTAACTTTGAGGGCACCAAAAAAGCAGTGTGTACTTATTGACTTTTGTTGATAATTGCTGTTTTGACGAATCAATACCAATATGCTTCTTCAGTACCATCCATACAAGCACTGATTCCTCTATTCATAATTTGTTTTGGTCAAGATCCCATAAAGTCTGAATTTTTTTAGTATTCAATAAAACAATGTGAAATGTTAAAATATTTGAATCAAGGACATTAAATTTCAGTTGTGTTGTGATTTTAGATTATAAGAATTCTATGCTGTAGTTTGAAAAATCATACTATGGGGCCCCCTACATTTCTTGGTCTTGACTTTGGTATATGTAGAGGTTGGATGAACCACAGAGACAACTGCAATATATTCTACAATGGTGGTATATATTTTTACAGTAAACTAATTTAAGGGCTTCAAAAACTACATGCACACAGATCACTAAGCTGTGTTACATATTAACCACACAAAAGGCTTCCGGTTCAGTATCTCTTACAGAGAATTGCACGCAGCAAGAATGTGAATTGGTTTACTCTGACTTTTACCACTAGGATCACTACCTACCATAGAGTGCTATCTTTGTCAACAACAACCTGGAGGACAGATACATTTGTTCAAACAGGAACAAACACGAAAACATAAATTCTCACCCTAAATATGGCTACGTCTTCATGTGTGAGCAGTGGCCATTGTACGTGTACGGTAATAATTAGAAGGAAATGCCTTGGCTCAGGTTTTTTCACAAATATGCAGTAGTGCATGTTAAGTAAAGCAAATCCATTCTTTAAACTGTGGTCAAAAGAGTTAAGCTATGAACAGAAGAATATAAAAATGTTCATTCGTCATTTTAAACATTTGTTAAAAAAAATGCCGTTTTCCCATGATAATCTCTTTCACTGAAGCATGTTACCCCTCCTCCATCTTATGAAAAGAGCAACAACTCAAAGTGACAGCAAGTACTCTGGGGAAAATAGACTGGACTAGACTTATATCTCTCACTGTTTGGTAAAGTTTTTCTCCATTCCATCTCACTTTTTGAGTGCAGTTCTATTCTGCTGAATATTAATTTCATAATCAGTTTGCATTGTGACTTCATCAGATACATTTTTATCTGGTGCAAAACCCTGGCTCCCAGCAACCTATGTGAGCTCCTTGCACACTTTGGTTGCATCAAGGAGTTCAGATTCTCTTAGGTTGTGTTCTTCCTGTATGTTTGTTGTTTACCTTTGCTTTGTCAAATGGGGGGTTTTCAAGTAAAAGAAGAGACCAATGCTATTTTCTTCATTTTTATTGTGTTAGTGATGGATAACATAGGAACCTTGCAAATGTAAATGGCAAGAATGTTTTTCACTGTAGCACAGGGCTGTCAGTTTTCTTGACATTGTTAAATAACTTTCAGTTCCTAGAATTGTTCCTTATGTTAGTCCGCTCCATGTTCAAAGAGGGGAAGCCAGGATCATCCAGTTGAGTAAAAGAAAGGAAAGTATGCGAAACCAAAGGACTCTTCTTTCAACAGCAAATTGCAAAGAATCACTAGCAAATCATGTCCATGAAGGCTTGATGTAAAATATTTACTTCCTAAAACTCAAAAGTGAAGAACAGAAGGAAATATGAGGCAAATATATTTATTTGTTCTTATAACAAAGTGAATTTTTAAAACATCTCTTTAATGCAAACTCAACATCATTCTAAAGAATATTTCATTTTTATAGAAGTATTTACTCAGTATTATTTATTCCCATTGAACATGTAGTTACACTAAAATATTTACATTTAACATCTCTTTCAATGTGACACAGAGTAAATGAGAACCAGCACTTATTTCTTTACCCAAATCTATTTTTTCATATTATATTACCTCAACCTTATTTTCATACTGATAAACTTCATTGAATCATTCTTGTTTTAGTCTAAGCATACAAGAAGCTACTGAATCAAATATGGAAAGAATGGACATATCTTTAAAACTAAACTACTCCAAAGCTACACAAAAATCCTGTCTCAAAAAAGTAACAAAAAAAAATCTACAAAAAACCAATAACCTTAACTCTGTGACATAGACAGAACTTGTGGTCTGAGTCCACAATCTAAGCAGTAGCAAAGCACTGTATAAATTGAGAAATTTTGTGATTTTTTTTTTGATTAATTGGGTGAAGGATGCTCAATGGATTTCACTTTTTAATTTATTTTTTATTGAAAATTTCCACCTCCTCCCACTTTCCTTCCCTCCCTCCTTCCCCTCCCTCTCCAGTCCAAGGAACAGTCAGGGTTTCCTACCCTGTGGGTAGTCCAAGGTCCTCCCCACTCTCCCCAGGTCCAGGAAGATGAGCATTCAAACAGACTAGGCTCCCACAAAGCCCGTCCATGCAGTAGAATCAAAACCCAGTGCCATTGTCCTTAGCTTCTCAGTCAGCCTCCACAGTTAGCCACATTTAGAGAGTCCGGTTTGATCACATGTTCCATCAGTTCCAGTCCAACTGGCCTTGGTGATAAACTCACTGATCTAATGGATTTCACATTGGAAATACAAAGGGAATATGCACCACTGGGAATCCTACATTTACCAAAAATAAGAGATAGTGCCCTTACTATTTCCACACAGGGTGATTTAAAGAATGGCGTGTTTGCTTTGTCATTTATTTTATGGTGTTTTTCTAAAATTACTGTCACTGAAAGGGTGAAGAACAACAAATTAATCACTTATCACTTCAGCTATATTACAACCATTAAATGAGGTATATTTGCATGCTTTTCACCTGCATATGCTTTTATTTTACAATAATATTATCTTATTCTTTTGTATTATAATTTAAACAATTTCTTACCTTCCTGTAGTAATATGTTTTCTTTGTAAACATTTCCTTTAGAGGCTAGGTACATTGCAGTTTATAATTTATTGAGACATACCATTATCATTTGAAATTCAAATTTTTACAATTCACTTACTCCTGTTAAATAATCCACATGTGATATTATAAAACTTTTCTTTCTCTTGAAAAATGACAGCAGGTTCATAAATGAGCTTTATAGGATCTGAAGACTTAAATTGTAAGTAACACTTTTCTTTGGGATAAAGTGTGTAACTTTTTAGATGGGGGCTCAAAGTATAAAAGTAAACATATAAGGTGTGTAAAGAAAAATATGAATCTCAGCAAAGTTCAAAGCAACCTGTAGCATTTGGTGATTGTGCACACTGCAAGAAATGGTATGACTGAGCCACCAAGTACGACAATTAGGAAAATTCATTTCACGTTTCTCAGCTGCTTTTCTGGAAGTGGCAGACACAGAGTTTTTAACAGCACTTGGGCTCTAGGTTTCTCCTTTCATTGTATATCAATGGAAAAGATTTTAGCTTAAATGCAATTGACTTGAGCTGAGCAAAAACATCTCAGTGTGAAATTGAGTTTTATTTTCTTACTAGAAAAATATTCCATCTTATTTTATATATAAAAACTATGGGGAAAGTTTAAATTACTATCAGGCGATAATCACTCTTAGTATCTGAACACATTTATTTTCATTCTTGATTAAAACAAATAAACAATGTCAGAAAATTGGAGTTAACTAGCATTTAAAACATTATATCATATTTAATTAACTCCAAATATGATCTATTAGTATTTATTAGAACTACTCGTAGCATGTGTGATTGGTACACTAGCCATTATATCGATGCAAGACTTTGTAAATATCTCTTGTGTGTCATTCAATTGGTTGTTAGGTGTTTATTACTTTGACATGTGTCAATATTTAATATTATGTGAATGCTCACATCAATGTTTTCTTGGCATTAGAATAGATACTACCTTCCCTCGCGATATATATTTTGTCTTTTGAGGTATCATTGATAGAGTTTGATTAAAATATTATAAAATTGTAAGGAAAGACTTCACAGAAGAAGAGTTATACTCAATTTTGGGGGGACATATTAAATTTCTACATTCATAAGGCAGTCACTGGATAATAAGAAGACCACCATTTTTATCAAAGGTAAGTGTCGAGAAGGAGACACAAAGGATCTCGTGACAGTCATGGCCATTGGCTACAAACATTGCAGCTGCCATCAGGGAATGGGCATCAGCATGACAAGAGGGTTCACTCTATGATGACATTTATGTATTCACTTCAAAATGTGAAATTTTCAAATTATGATTGCAAGCTTATATCCATCAGTCATTGTTCCAGGAATAGAAACACGCTAAAATGTGTTCAGTAGAAGGAGTAAGAAGAGTCATTTGACCTTGCTCATGCTAGAGACAAATTCTAGAGAAATTTCTAGTTACACAAAGGGAACACGAACTACCATACTACGACCAACATGCAACCATCTGTGCACACAAACACTGAGCATGCTCTCTTTAACACTCAGAGGTTGTGGCTCATTTTTAAATAAAATTTCCACTCTATATGCTCCCATATCAAAGTAAAAAAGATAAGCTCAGTAATGAGATACAAGACAGTAGTTAATGACTGATAGGAAGAGAAAGGATGCATAATGTGAAAGGCAGTCAAGAGGAATACTCTCAAAGAATAAATTTAAAAAATGGAATTAAAATCTGAAAGAATCAAAGAAGAATTTTCTTTTTTTTTATTTAAATTTATTTATTTATTAAGGATTTCTGCCTCGTCCCCGCAACCGCTTCCCATTTCCCTCCCCCTCCCCTGATCAAGTCCCCCTCCCTCATCTGCTCGAAGAGCAATCAGGGTTCCCTGACCTGTGGGAAGCAAAGAATGCAAAAATATAATCGAGTGAAATTAAAACTAAAAGTCAAAAGGCTAAGAAATTTTCTGTATTTCTATCCTAAAACACAGATTTCAAGTGTTAAAAAGATATCAATTCAAAAATTGGTTTTTTTTTTCTTTTTTATTGAAAAAAAAATTTCAGCCTCCTCCCAGGCTCCCATTTCCCTCCCCCTCCTCCTGCCCCTCTCCCCCTCCCTCTCCAGTCCAAAGAGCAGTCAGGGTTCCCTGCCCTGTGGAAAGTTCAATGTCCTGCCCCTCCATCCAGGTCTAGGAAGTTGAACATCCAAACTGGCTAGGCTCCCACAAAGCAAGAACATGAAGTAGGATCAAAACCCAGTGGCATTGTCCTTGGCTTCTCATCAGCCCTCATTGTCAGCCATGTACAGAGAGTCCGGTTTTATCCCATGGTTTTTCAGTCACAGTCCAGCTGGCCGTGGTGAGCTCCCAATAGATCAGCC